AACCCTGAAATGAAGATGGGCTTCATCCAATGTACTGCATAAATAACCGGGGATTCTCTACATGTATTGTGCTCGCTCATGGTCTGTATAGAGTGTTAAACTCGGTAATATAAAGGAGATGACCAAATCAATGCTGGGGAAGTAGATTTGGCTTCTCTGCTTCTCATAGGACTATCTCCACCACCCCCAGTTAGCACCATTAACTCCTCCTGAGCTCTGATAACAGAATAAACATTTCTCAATAATTTCATCCACAATCATTAATGAAAATAAGAATTATTTTGATGGCTCTAACAGTGGCATTTATATCACATGTTATATCTGGAGTATTCTATAGTAAGTTTTATATTAAGCTAATCAATAAAAACCTCTTTACAAGAGTATTATCGTATGCTTTCCTGCACATTAAGGAGAAATCTATAGAACTGAATGACTGAGAACCAACAAGTAAACATTTTGATCATTGTAGTCACTGTTGGTGTGAGGCCTTCGTCAGAATTCCAGTTTGATTATTAACACAGGTGAGAGTTAATCCACTATGACTTTGCCCATTGTTTAGAAAGAATATTCATAGTTTAATTATGACATTTTTGACCAGGCACAGTGGCTCATGCCTATAATCCCAGCACTCTGGGAGGCCAAGGCGGGCAGATAACCTGAGGCCAGGAGTTCAACACCAGCCTGACCAACATGGTGAAGCCCCATTTCTACTAAAAATACAAAAATTAGCTATGCGTGGTGGCACATGCCTGTAATCTCAGCTACCCAGGATGCTGAGGCAGGCAATTGCTTGAACCTGGGAAGCAGAGGCTGCAGTGAGCCAAGATCACCCCACTGAACTCCAGCCTGGGTGATAGAGTGAGACTGCATCTCAAAAAAAAAAAAAAAAAAAAAAATTACACCTTTTTGTAGCACATATATTTTGTAACATATAACTGAAGCCATTATTATATTATTAGTTTTGATTTAATATTTTCAGCCCATCTCCCCTGATATTTCTGGGAGACAGGAAACATGTTTTCCTACATCTCTTGCATTCCATCCTCAACTCCCAACTGTCTTAATGCAAACAACACCTAATAAAAAACAGTTGATTGGTCAATTGATTGGGCAACAAGGCTAAAAATACTCATTCCTGTTCTTTTCCTATTTCTTCCTTTATTTTCCCTTTCTGAATAATTTAGTCCTAGAGGCATTAGGTGGGTGGCAGCCAGATGGTGGCCACACATTAAGGTAGAGAAGAGAGTCATGGTGGTTCCAAGTCAGAGACCAGGTAGGATGAGGACAAAGTGGGTGTTCATGTGGAAACAACCTGCCTGGGTGTGGGAGTCCAGGAAAGCAGAGAAGGGGTCCATACAGAGGGGTGGCCTACAAGAGCAGCCAGAGCCTAAATATGGCATGGAGAATCCACGTGAGGTGAGGAGGGCATCCATGAGTGGGAACCAATGGGTGAGGTTTGGCTACATAAAGGGAATTGATCAAATAAGTAAATATATTAAGGACGATGGAAGCCAGGCTTCTCACCTTTGCAGAAGGGAGTCATGGATTCAGAAAGGGAGAAAACCAGCATGAATCCCATGAAATAAGATTGGAATGGATGTATTCGTGTATATTCATACCCTTCTAGATAGATAGATGGGTAGATAGGTGATAGATAACAGATAGAGGACAAGATCATTAGATAGACATACATGTATGTATGTGTTTGTGTGTGTGTACAAAAAAACCCATATATTTCCTACTTCTCTTCACTGATAGGGCTAGGTAACAATGACATTTCAATACCAATGAGTACACTTAGTGCTCAGATCTTCGCTTATGAATACCATTTTCTGCGGAAAGGAACCAGAGCTCTTTAGAGAAATGCCTGATTCCAGGGCCAGGGTTAAGAATGTTCAAGACAAGCCTAGGACACATTCTGTGCCAGGAAGCAAGAAAATGTTCAAATGATTTCCAAGTAATGTTTAGAAATGATATTTGAAAAAGTCTTCCAAATGATAATTCCAAATGATATTTGCAAAAACCTAAAGACTCCACCAAAGTACTATTAGGACTGATAAACATACTCAGTTAAGTTGCAGGATATAAAATCCACATACAAAAATTAGTAGCATTTCTATATGCAAATAGTGAACAATCTGGCAAAAATAAAAAAGTAATCCCTTTTACAATACCACAAATAAAACTAAATACCTAGGAATTAACTTAAAGAAGAGAGAGATCTCTACAATGAATACTGTAAAACACTGATGAAGGAAATTAAAGAAGACACAAAAACAGAAGGATATTCCATGTTTACATACTGTAAGAATCAATATTGTTAAAACTGTCCCTACTACCCAAAGCAATGTAGAGATTCAATGCAATCCCTCAAAATACCAATGACATTCTTCAAAGAAATAGAAGAAAAAATTCTAACATTTCTGTAGAACCACAAAAGACCCAGAATAGCCAAATCTTCAGCAAAAAGAACAAAACTGGAGAAATCATATTACCTGACTTCAACTTATACTACAGAGGTATAGTAACCAAAACAGCATGATTCTTGTATAAAAACAGACATGTTGACCAATGAAATAGAATAGAGCACCTAGAAACAAATCCACACACCTACAGTGAATTTGTTTTCGACAATGTTGTCAAGAACACACACTGAGGAAAAGACAGTCTCTTCTGGTGCTGGGAAAGCTGACTATCAATATACAGAAGAATGAAACTAGACCCCTATATCTCACCAGACACAAAAATCAAATCAGAGTGGATGAAAGACTGAAATTTGGCCAAGAGCGGTGGCTCATGCCTGTAATCCCAGCACTTTGAGAGGCTGAGGCGGGTGGATCACTTGAGGTCAGGATTTCAAGACCAGCCTGGCAAACAAGATGAAATCCCATCTCTACCAAAAAATATAAAAGTTAGCTGGGCATGGTAGTGCATGCCTGTAGTCCCAGCTACTCAGTAGGCTGAGGTGGGAGAGTCACTTGGACCCAGGAGGTGGAGGTTGCAGTGAGCTGAGATCATGCCAACGCACCCCAGCCTAGGCAACAGAGTGAGACTCTGTCTCAATAAAAGGAAAAAAAAAAAAAAAAGAACTGAAATCCAAGACCTCAAATGATGAAACTGCTACAGAAAACATTGTGGAAATTCTTCAGGACATTGGTCTGTACAAAAAATGCTGAAGTAATACCCCACAAGCACAGGAAACCAAGGCAAAGCTGGACAAATGGAATCACATCAAGTTAAAAAGCTTCTGTGCTGCAAAGAAAGCAATCAACAAAGTGACGACTCAAACCACAGAATGGGAGAAAATATTTTCAAACTAACACTCCAACAACAGATGAACAACAAGAATATACACAGAACACAAACAACTCTTCAGAAAAAAATTAATAATCCTAATAATCAAAAAATGGGCAAAAGATTTAAATAGACATTTCTCAAAAGAAGACACACAAATGCCACATAGGCATATGAAAAGGTGCTCAGCATCATTGATCATTAGAGAAATGCAAATCAAAACTACAATATCATCTCACTCCAGCTAAAATGGTTTTTATCCAAAAGACAGGCAATAACAAATGCCAGCGAGAATGTGGAGAAAAGGAAATTCTTGTACACTGTTGGTGTAAATTAGTACAACCACCATAGAGAACAGTTTGGAGGTTCCTCAAAACATTAAAATAGAGATATCTTAAGATCCAGAAATCCTTGTGCTGGGTATATAGCTGGAAGAAAGGAAATCCATATATTGAAGAGATATCTTCATTCCCATGTTCACAATAGCCACTATTCATAACTGCCAAGATTTGGAAGAAACCTACATGTGCATCAACAGATGAATGGCTAAAGAAAGTACTCTACTCATACACAGTGGAGTACAATTCAGCCATGAAAAAAGCATGAGATCCTGTTACTTGTAATAACGTGGATGGAACTGGAGGTCATTATGTTAAGTGAAATAAGCCAGGCACGGAAATATAGGCATTGCGTGTTCTCACTTATTTGTGGGATATACAAATCAAAACAATTGAGCTAATGTCTGGGTCTTAGTCAATTTTGTACCCTAAGTACTGGGAGCACAGTCTTTAAAATACATGATGAGTGCTTTCATACAGGAATGAATAGAGGAGAGGCACAGGGTGGTTGGGGGTTCTTCTGATGCATAGTATCTTCCTTGACACATTCAGTACAACTCTCAACAGGTAAGTCTCTTCATGTTATGTTACCTTATGAGAAATTAAGTGGCAGAACATGTCTTCTATTATTTTCCTTTCCAGACAAGACCAATTGCTGGCTGCATTTGAGTCCCAAGCAACAATTAGGCCATCGCTATCACCACAGAGTCAGAGGGGATGACACACAGGGGCCAGCAATCTCACCCAAGTCAACTCCACCACACTTTCTGGTCACCCACTGTGTGTATAGAGCCCTGCTAGTGACCAGGGTGATGACAGTAAATAATACCAGACTGTGCCCTTGAGGAGCTTACCTCTGCTGAGGGAAACATGCACACAAACCCACAATGGTGGTAGAGAGGAAATAGGACAATAGGACTGTGTGAGGGGGATAGGAGGCATCCAGAGGAGGAAATGGTTACATCTGTGTGAGGAGGTTCGTAAGGAAAGACTTTAACAGAAGGGGTCTGTCTATCTGGGCTTGGAAGAATGTATAGGAGTCATCTAGCGGGCGCAGGTACACTCCAGGCAGAGGGAATTGCATGGGTAAAGATCTGGAGGTGTGGCTTGTGGGGAAGGATTTCAAGTATTCTGGAATGAGGACAGCCATGGAAACAAGGGCAGGTGAGAAGAGATTTAATAGATTTCATGCCAATGGCTCCACTTCAGTTTCTGGTAAGAAATCAGAATCCTTGGACTCCTCGATAACACTGATTAAATTGTTTATGATTCCTCATAGAACATGAACTCAAAGGAGGTCAGCAAAGGGGTGTGTGCAATTCTTTGCTACTGGCTACAGCTGCAGCCCCTCCTCCTTCTCCGGCACAGAAACATTTCAGCAACTTGGCTGCAGACTGCTGTGCAGGGCAGGGAAGCTCCAGGCAGACAGCCCAGCAAACAACAGCACGCAGCTGAAAGGAAGACTCAGAGGAGACAGCTGAAGAAGGAAAGTGGCGATGGACCTCATCCCAAATTTGGCCATGGAAACCTGGCTTCTCCTGGCTGTCAGCCTGGTGCTCCTCTATCTGTGAGTAACTGTCCAGGCTCCTCTCCTCTGTTTCCTTGGACTTGGGGTGCTAATCGGGCCCCCTTTCCCTTATCTGCTTAGAAGATCAAAAGAGATGTTCAAGGAGAAGTAGTACAATTGTTGGACGCTACAAACACAGAGAGGTTATTATTGTTCTTATGCAGATTGTTGAAGGAATAAATAAGCATTTCTCCCATCCACCTTCTATTTTTGGTGACTAGGATGGTTTAGTGACAGCATTTTGCAGTGGGAGTGATCTGATTAGCTTAGACTTGACCTATACTAATCTATGGAAACACAGGCGAGGCAGATTACAAACTACTGAACACAATGGGCAGTGTGATCCTCATCCCCTTCCCAGGCTCTGGGGATTCTGGGGGCAGGAGGGAGTGGCTTGCGTTTTTGTCGCTTTATCTTTGTTTTCTGGGTTCTGTGTCTGCTGGAAGGGATATGCAGATGTATTGTCCCCTGTGGACCCGGTGGTTCCTGCTCCCCTGCCTTCCACCCCAGGACATCATTTACATGAGGCACCAGGGAACACCAATACTTCAGGGGAAGCTGTCCCTTGGCTCTTCCCTCTTTCCTGTGCCATGCCCCGGAAAATCCCCTCCGTCCTATGACTCAATCCTCCACCCTGTCACACACAGAACTATTTAACTTGCAATGATTAATTTCTAGAGCAAAGGAGACTTAGAGGAAGTTTTTAAAGATTTATTCTTTGCTTTAATCTTTTTCCTCCAGTCTCTGAGAGGCTAGGATTAATATACAGCTTTATTTCTTACCTAATGGGAATCTGCTAGCAGCCTGAAAAGGCAGGAGCCATGAAAGCCAATTTGGATTTTAGACATTTTTTCCCCTTTATGTTACAGTACAGGAGGACGAACCCTCTCACTGGTGGGAATCCTGGCATCCTAGAGCAGGTGGAGAAAAGAGTTACCTTCCACTGTGGGTAGTGGAGGCTCAATCTGTCACATTTGACTTCTACAACAAGTTTATTTTTATTAAGAGTAGGGAACCACAATGACATGAAAATAGAAAATATAAATCTCATTTTAATTCTTTCACGGAAAGCTTAGGAATTCAGTGAGTTGTGGCAACATGGTTTCCATTTTCTAACATTTCAAAATGAATTGATATGGTTTAAATTCATTCGTTTTTAAACCTGAATTTTTTAGAGATAGACTATTTCCAGCATGTTCCTTCTGGATGACAAAAGAAGGCTGTTAGTTCAGTATTTGTGACAATAAATGTGTGTAAAATAACATCACCTTTCCAGAATAATATCAGGAATATTAGTCTAATGCACAAATGTATACTTCTAAGACAGGACTGCATATGTCTTTGTAAATATACCTGCCTGACAAGTTTATTTTAATACCTCCTTTTTGAATATACCTGCTTAGCAGGTTATCTTAAACTCTCAGGGCAGGGGAGTAGGTAAGACTGTGAGCCAGTGACGATAGCAAAGGCATCCAGGTAGGATCAGTATGAAGTGAGAAAATATTCCTCAGCTCTCAGGGTAGAACTGCAAAGAGATACTCATGGGTCCTGGCCCCAAAGTGGACGTCACTCAAAGGGCAAACAGGTTGGCATCTCATCTGCTTCAAGCCTGGACACAGGGGCACCATCTGTGTCACTCTGTATGTGGTCTGCCATGTTGTGGGGTGGTCATTACAGATTCAGGCAGCTGGGCAGACAATACCTTAGCCTTAGATAATGCTGGTGCAGCCCAGGAGTCAGAAGCTATAGTGTAGACCATGCCCTACTTAGGCCAACACAATTAAGTGCAGTAGATGACTGGCTTTTTTGTTAGCCTCTTCATTGAAAACGAAAGCAGCATTACTCTACCAGAGGGGAGCTGGAAAGAAACTAAACAACTTACCCAGCACAGCCTCTGCCTTGACATGGAACCATGTGAGTCTAGACACTCACCTAGATCTTTCCTTGGGGGGCCAATGCTGCTGACACATTAACTCAATAGTTTATCCTGGCCTGAGAGGTCAAGTAACATGTAGAAAGTTTAGAAGCAGAGATTAGTGTCACTGATTTGCCATGGCTGTGACAACAAAGGAAGGGAGTGAGAAAACCCAAGGCCACCCTGGTTTTGGTAGACGATGCACACACTTCCACTAACTGTTCTGGGGGCAAGGATCCAAATGCACTATTGGGCCTGGCTATGCGGCCTCTGCTGGGTCCTCCAAACACGAGCCTCCAGGCCATTTCTCAGTTGTATTTTACCATATATTATCAGAGTCACTGGATTTGTACAGAATGTTTGGAACCTATACTGCCTTAAGGGCTATCCTTTAAAGAAGAGAAAACAAGGTCTTAATTCAACTGTCTGGAACATTTTATGGTTACTTATGTGGAATACTGCATCTTTCCTATCAACAGGAAGGCACATGGACTTTAGAAGGTGCCTGTCTTTCCGCTGAAAGCACATATGAGGCATATAGATCCATTTATGCACACCATACTTTTCAGCCACATTTTCCTAATTTGCCTCTCTGGGGCCAATCTTTTGGGACTAGCAGATTCAAGGTTGAATTGATGGACGGCAACCTCTTCCATCAGCCTTTCTTCTTCCTCCAGTCTTCCATTCCTCAGTAATATCAGACTGGGAAGGTCTTCACACATCCAGAAACCCCAGCTGGGGGAGTCCATACATGACCCATCAAAGATGAGTTGCATGCAGGCCTGCCATAGGGAGAACCAGCCTTAATGAGTTTTCCTACAGAGATACTTGATGTGCAGAGGCAATAAATTGACTGCTTTGTGATTGATCACCTTGAAAAAAATGAGCATGCCTGGATATATTAGTCCTTTCTTGCACTGCTATAAAGAGATACCTGAGGCTGGGTAATTTATAAAGAAAAGAGATTTAATTGTCTCATGGTTCTGCAGGTTCTACAGGAAGCATAGCAACTTCTGCTCTGGGGAGGCCTCAGGAAATTTACAATCATGGTAGAAGGTGAAGAAGAAGTAGGCAGATCTTACATGGCTTGAGCAGAAGCAGGAGAGAGTGGGGAGAAGGCGCCACACACTTTTAAACCACCAGATCTCACAAAAACTCGTTGTCACGAGGAAAACACCCAGGGGGGTTGGTATGAAACCATGAGAAACTGCCCCAAAGATACAATCACCTTCTATCAGGCCCTACCACCAGCACTGGGGATTACATTTCAGCATGAGATTTGGGTAGGGGCAGATTCAGACCATATCACTAGCACTGTGCTTATCAGACGAATATCACCAGTTGGAAGGCTAGATTATACAAGAGGAGGAATGTCCTGGAAATTGGTTCTTTAAGTTGTGATTCTTCTGCACACTGTCATTCAGGGAATTATGAGTCACTCATCCTCCCCAGTAGCTCAAATCAACCAGATTATCTGACCACAGAGACTGAGGTGTAGCTGAAAGGTTCTCGCATTTCTATGAGGTCAATGGAAGCCTGGAGCACAGTTGTCAATCTGTAGAAATAAGGACTCTGTGACTCCTGCAACACCTCTCTGTGAATGACGGTTTAAGAAGGGCCAGATCCTAAAATAGGGTCAGAGCTTAGAGGGAAGGGAAAGCATAAATGACTCTTAGCAAATTCTAAAGACAGGGTCACCATAGGCTCTCAGTGACCCCCTGTGACTGAGTGGATGCAGTGATGCAAAATCTCATCAACACGAATGAAGACAAAAAAAAAAAAAAAGTCACCCTTTCTACCTAGGATGAGACTCCCCAAATCAGGGAAGAGTCCACTTACTAAACAGACATAAGGGACTGAAGTGCCCTGGAAGAATTACTGCCTGAACCTCTCAGGAGCACTCAAGTTTGAGGACATTTATCAAGTGTTCATTCCAGGATTGGGACCATGAAGACTTCTGCTGCTTTCAGCTAGTCATTGTACCTTTTTGGGGTCTCATGGTGGAGGCGGGAAAGGACCTGATGATCAAACATAATCATTGCCATCGGAGTTACTGTTATCATTTATTGCCTTAATGTTACCTCCTTCTCTTGAGCATTCCAGTTCCTCCGTCAGTGACTCACCAGCCCCTATATCTATAAAGTCACAATTCCCGAGACCTGATTTCTGTTTCACTTTGTAGATATGGAGCCCATTCACATGGACTTTTTAAGAAGCTTGGAATTCCAGGGCCCACACCTCTGCCTTTTTTGGGAACTACTTTGTCCTACCGTCAGGTGAGTGTTTTTGAGCTTGCTCTTTCACTTCTTATGATTGGAAAGAACAGCTTAGTTCCATCAGTAAAAATGCTTCTCCTCAGGAGAAAGGTCTGAGGTTTTATACTTTCGGAAACAGTGTATAGGCACCACCCAGAGCATGGCAAGGTTTACCCCAGGGCCCTCCGGCTAACTCTCAGGAACCTCAGGTTTGCCTCAGTTGAACAGCCCAAATCTCAGGCATATCGGCAACCTGATGTTCAGAATTTGATGTGCAGACTTTGAGAGCACCATAAAGAAGATTTTCCTTTTGCCCAATGTAGGTTCCCAGGAAGGTACAGTCATATTTAGTTAGTATTAAGAGTAGGAAAAGGACCCCCTGATTGTGACTTGTTATCTGTGTACATGAGAGTCAAACTTTTCTTTCTATAGCAAGAGCTCCGGAGTAGCCTTTTTTCCCTACCTCTTGGACAGCTTTGAAACTCACTTTATTAGGGAGATCAAGTATTTACCATTGGGTCATTTTCACCTGCTTGAATCCTCTCCAAAAAATGCTAAATTCCCTGAAGGTATTTCCATGGCTCTACCCCAGCTCTGACTCCCCATGACATCTTCTGCAGCTTTGAGAGTCAGAACAAAGGGGTTCTGCTTTACTTCTTTTCTTTCAAAGGCTGTAGCTTATGGGTGAGTCTGAGCAGGGAGTGGATATAACTGAGATGAGATAGTAGTTGTCTATCAATGTCAGATATTTAAGCACAAAATGAATTTGTGGGTTTTTTTTTTTTTTACACAAAGGCAGAATCACATGTAAAATTAAGGAAGGAGACCAC